GGCGGCGCTCAGCCGCCCTTTTTGTCGGCGTTCATGAGCTGTAAAGAGTAATTTGCCGATAAGTGACGGGGGCGGTTTAATGCCTATATACATGCCGATACACTGCAAAAAAGAGAGGAAAATCATCGGATTAATCCCTGAGCTCAACCGCCTGAACCATTTTGAAACATTGTGTAACAATTGAGTATAGTCTTAGGACCAGTAATCGACAGAAGTAGTTTGAGTAGCAGAGGCCCAACGGGTCAGTTTGGTAGGTGTAGAAAATGGAGGTATCATGGAGAAGGACTCAGATGAGAAGTGCCCCTGACATATCGATAGAAATCCACACCACTTGTTGATGTAAGAGAGGCTTGGATCGTCTTTTAAGGAGGTGCAATCGATAACTCAGTCAGTGAAGTATCAAGCTCAATGAAGCAAAAACGTTCCACGCATGTAAGCAATTAGCGTACTGCAGGGTGTGTTTTATTAGGGCTTTGTGCAAAGTGAACGGATCAGATGGTCAAAAAGACTTGATAGCTCTAAGCAAATTCCAATTTTTTCCCAGCAGCTGTTTTCATTTAACGAGACGTGTTCGTGCCAAGTGATTTCCTCGATAACCTGTACTCCTCAAAATCAGATCGGATGGCTTCCTGGAAAAATTCGCCTCTCCATCAAAACATTAAAACCGCATATGCGTACCTTTTATCACTCAAAGTACGGTACTGTATCGCAGAAGGACAAAACTGTGCTCAATAACGCAGGAAGAAAGTCGTTAATATGTAATAGAAACAAAATGCTAGGTCCAAAACTGAAACCTGCGGCCCACCCACGGCGATCATTTACGACGAGACTGCCAGGATGATGTCGCAAAAACTTACACTTGGTGTTACAGAAGTCGACATCAAGCCGGAAAATGGGGATAGGCTAAGTCATAATCGTTATCAGAAAAATATAAATAAAAATCTAAGCCATGTACTTTTCAAACTGTAGACTTTGAAAAAATTGCAAAATCTACACCCTGTGCTGATTTCCCAAATCAAGCACACGGTGAAAGCAAAATTTCCTTTCCTTACGATCATGACGTACAACAAGCCGTCGGAAAATACCCAAGTACTTCAGTTTGTCAAATAGAAGCAAGCACGGGAGCAGTTGAATTTGTTAATAACGGAAGGTTCACTCGGCTGGTAACCCGATCACTTTTACGACGATATCAAGCAAGATCATCACTTTTAATATTATTCCGATTTTTTTAAAAGCCTATAATTTGAAGTACACGACTTAGATTTGACTTGGCCTATCTCTCGTTTCCTGCTTGATGTTGACTTCTAGGACAGCCTGTATAAAGTCAAAAAAATCGATAAAATGCCAGTTTTGAAGTTACTAATACGGGTGCGGAGAGGAATTCCTCCACTGATTTGTAAAGATGAGGATATATTACAAAAGTTTGCATTATTTGTAGTTTTTTCAAAAAAAATTTCGAGTGTTATATTGCTTTCAAAAAGTATATTCACCATGTTTTCACTTTTTTCTTAGCTTTCGAACAATAGATGGTGCTTTGGTTCTGGCACTGAAATCATCTGGGAAAAAAGGGCGCTGTAATAAAAGTTTCAGCAAAACAGAATTAGGGAAAAATGAAGATTTATCGCTTATATACGTGACGGTTATGCTACGCGTTGTCCTATAAAGGGTAGTAAATGAGATTCTGCGTTGGGGCAGCACAAAAACTATGGATATTAGTATGAGGCGCAAATATGGGTCATAGTCATTAAGGAATGTTGTTATTCATATGCAATGCTGGCACCTAACGTAAAAAAGGAATGATTAGTCCTCATGATGACAGTATTATGGTATGGTAGATTCCTGTGAAAGTCATTAAGCTCAAAGATGGATTTTAAGCTAAGGAAAGCTATTCAGATTTTCAATGGTTTTGTTGTTATATATTGGGTTTCCCATTTCTAGACTTATTGGATTGGTGAACTGGTAAGCCATTTAAAAAACGACCTCCTTCTGAGTATACAAAAAATGCTTGGATAACAATCAGCTATACAACTCTTCTATTAATACTGCCATTTTCGATGAGACAATAATAATTGCCACCTCTAAAAATGCTCCTAAAACTGAATAGATCTACAATGGAAGAAGTTTTATTGCTCTGGTTCAAGCATTCCCTGCTAGTGTTGCTGTCTGACATGTTATCGGCGGTCGCTATTATTTTCCGTTAAGTGCGATAGTAAAAATTATGATATTTCGATATGATCAGGTGTACTTCGGGTAAACCAATGAAAAATAGTAGTCTGGTTGTCCTAATAAACGAAATAAAAAAATACGTTCATAAGAAAAACAAGATTTTATTAAGCTGTTGATAGAATGACCTAAAAATTAAAAAATATTTGTTAGAATTAGAATTATTTCAACGATAATGAAGCTCCTTCGACTCGAGTTTCAAGTTTTCAAATAGAAGCATCACACGCTTTTATTTGAAAACTAAAAGTTAGTTCATTTTATTAACATCTGTTTTTATAAATGTATCTTTTCATTTATGATTTAGAACCCTTCCAAAAAACAATGTCTAAAAAAACAAAATTATATCCCTCTGATGTCTTGTCTTATACGAAGATATACAATTATATGAGATGAGGCAACTTTATCTCTCACATCCTATTACCAAGTATAATAAATTTACTAGTATCGATCAAAAAATCAGACACAATCACACAAACTTCGAGCAACGGTTGTACCTAGACCCAACAAATCTATTACTCAGTGATCATTCCTGTGTTTAGGACCAAAATTATACGCAAATTGACCATATAAAGAACCTGCTCTTTGAGACAGACATACACAAATTAATAGTAAATGTAACCATCAAATGATTCGTTGATTCGCTGTATCATTACTATTTGTGTTTTAGTTCTACGCACGTTTGCAACATTAATACAGGTATGGACCTTTTTCTTTCATATTTATTTACTCATTTTCCATACTGTGTTTGAAGAGTAAATAAATATTATTATAATTTTATTTATTCTTAAGTGCTTAGTATTTATGATATTAAATTTCTGGTTTGGTAATTTCTACATAATTCTCATATATTTTATCAATAGCTTCATGGAGATGAAGCTTATTATTTTTGAAGGGAAATTGAAATCTTCTCGACACGTTTGTGTGTACCGCTCACAAAAATGCTGTCGCATTTCTTGAGTCTATGTCCTTGTCAAATTTATTGGTTTGATATCTAAATTTACGCAAAATACATTCGGCTGTGGATTTTACTACTCCTACATTTTTCTGAATTAGCCTAGTTGATACCTCAGTGTTCTCCGCACAAACACTATTCTGAGTTTTTTCTAAAAATTCCTTTTTTTCGAGACGTAACAGGCTTTTTGAATTAACCATATTCTTTTAAATTTTGAGCCAACTCTAAGTCAATGGACTACCTTGGCTGCCTTCTTTCTGGAAATCTATCAAGATACATTTCTGTAGTATTTTTAAAATGTTTGTAGTACGTCAGCATGTCGAACTTTTCTTCATTGCTAAAATGACCGCCTGGCATCTTTGACTATAATAAAGCAAAATTAACAATACACAATAATAACAATACTCGGTGACAGGTATTTACGTCAAGTCGGGCACACATTTGCAGCACCTACTTAAATAAGATAAAAAAATCATAAAAATAGTTATTTATTATACAAGGGAAAAAAGTACTAGACGCGCAGCGGAGGGAGACAAAAAACCGAAGGCTAAGATCTAGTATTTTTCCAGTGTATAATACACAATTTTTTTCTGTGACGGGATAAAAACGACGATTTAATATTGAAAAATTATGTTATTACAATATTTAAGTCAGAAAATTATCGATGTGAAATGTGAATTTTGAAATTAGTAGGCTATGTTGTACTTAAAGCGACAATTAGACGTGCGTTGCTAAGGAAACTTTTAAAGTAATCAAATAGCTGGCCATTTAATTTTGTGAATTGATTTAGAAATTGTGAACTTGGGTGTTGTTTAGAAGTTATTTTTAATACTATAAAGTAAAAAATGTCTGATTCCGAGTTTTTCTCCGGTAAAAAAAGTGACATTTTGTTACCTGTCAATAGAGATAAAATGTCAAACTTTTTTCCCGTCACAGAAAAAATGCATTTTTTCTTATAAACAAAAAAATAAATATAACATAACATGGTTGAGTTCGTATAAGAAAATGCTATTAGACACAGGGTGTACTTTTTTTCAGACCATATAAACAAATAAAGTTGATGATGCTTTCTCAAAGAACCGTCGGACACATAATTTGAAAACACCATCATATAGTACGAAAAAGGTGCCAAAGGAAAAGTTTCATTAGTTTTTTGATACTCCTTAAAATAAAGTTGTATCGCCCACAGGTATTGAGAGCCTCATGCATAGGATCCTTATCTTGGACACCATGTACCTATTTCTATTTGCAAGTATTATTCTCAATCTTAAAATGTACCTACAGGTAAAACGTAAATTTGTTACAAGTTACAAACCGCTTTAGATTGATTTGCATCAAATGGATTTGAGTGTGAAAAAATTAACTTTGCTACACTTGCAAGAAGATACCAAACGACACTCATATTATTACCCTTGGAATAAAAAGAAGTTGACAGTGGTAATGATATTTCTCGTGTTACCTCAGTTATTTTTAGAAATCAGAGGATTTAGTCCTAAGAAGTTTTAAGAGACCACCCTGTCTGTCTGTCGACAGTTTTCGACAAGTTAATGGCCTTACACAATCAAAATGTATTTTTTGTACTACACAACGCTCTTAATTCAAGTCAAAGTACATCGGAGTCGTCGCATTTAACCTCATTCACCTCAAAAAGCTACCTGACTAGTGTACCCAAACGAAGTCCTATCGACCGTCGCTCCGTTCACAATACACTCACAACACACTTCTCTTCCGCAAGGTACCATGCAAGATGAAGGGGACTTACCAGGATTGAGCAGGAACACAAACACTACACTAACACCGCAATATGCAATAACAATAAAGTCACAAATGTCCCGAAATGGAGTTAGAAATGAAGCGTTGAAGTGTGTCACGATCGGTGATCCGACGACTACCCTGCTGGCGTGTCCTGCTGCACTGCTGCGTTGCGCCCCGGCAGGATAGAGGGACGCAGGCGTCAGAGCCGAGACGCTGTTCGCAGGCGCCCGCCATGCGGATGCAGGGAAGGCTTATCATAGACAAGGAACTGATGGTTCAGCATTTTACGTCTGGAGACCAATTCTTGAAAACTTTTTTGTTTTTTGTAAGACCTAAAAAAAGTTTTTTGATAGTTGTAATGCCTAATACCAATGCTTCCATGTCTCATGGCTAAAGAAAAGTGTTACGAAAAGAAGTTTCATCTTTACTTCCCATGCCTGAAGCTTGTGGCAAAGACGGTCACTACTAAAACGTCCAAGAAAAAAACCGGGAAAATTATTTCAAGTTTCTGAAATGGCCGCTAGGGGCTTAAGTGCAATCTTGAACCTAAACGAGTGATGTTTCTATGAATTTCGCTTTATTAGCATAACAAAATAATATCTAATCTTTAAAGTCGAGGGTAATATGAACTTTTTTTTTGTTTGATATTTTTTGACGCATCTCTAAAAATAAAGGTTTCCATAAAAAATCCCTGTATCTTCGAAACGGCTGATCCGATTTCAACAAGCTTGGGCTGGTTGAAAAGAGCCATTCTTGGGCTACAAATGTTATAATATTTGAAGTTTTATTTCACATATGGCCGGTAGAGGGCTTTTTTCGGAATTCCGACAGAAATGGTTAATTTTCTTAAAAAAAATAAATGCATCGTACAGTTTTTCTTTTTATGAAAAGTAGCTAAACGATGTCTAAACAAGCTCGCGAAATCCGCATCTCGATATCTCGTTCCTAACCTAAAATTTAGGCCAAAGAAAATTTTATGAGGTAATGCCTTAAATTTTAATTTTATTAAACTAATTTTTCTGGAATTCTTTTTTATTCATCAGAATAAGGTCACCTTTTTTTGCAAATAGTACAAAATACCGCTAACAGGTAAGTAGCTAATGCTAATAACAAAAAGAATATTTTTGGTTTAAGGCCTAGGCCGCATTACGGCTAAACCGCCGCGAATATTAACCGCCTGATTTTGTGAGTAGAGTAAGCTAATGGAAGCTACCGCACTGACGGTTTTCTCCCGCGACTGATTTTGATACCGCGACTTGTTACAGAATGGCTATCGGGAAAAAACGCGCCAAAATGTGTAGTTCATGAAACTTATATTGACCAGCACACATTTGACGCGGCAACCGCGCGCGGTACTCACATTCTTCGGAACACCATCATGAAGAACCAGATATGCATAAGTCATCAGGGCATTACAAATATTTTGTACATCCACTGCATCATGGAAGGACTTAATCTCCATGTTTTGCTATGAGGCCGTTTGATTTGCGGGTTCCAAGTTAGTTTGGAGTCTAGTATCACCCCCAGGTATTTGCTTTCCCCCAATACTTGTAACTGTTTTTCCAGAAGGTATGGAGGTCCTAACTCCTCTGATTTGTTCCTTCTGGTCTCAGAAGGACTTCCTTTCTCTGGAGGCTATTTTTTTCCTTTTCCCAATGTTTTACTTGGTTAATAGACCACAGAAATAATTTAACAAGCTGTATGACCTCTCTATCAAAAAAAGCGTAAGAGTTTATAGAAAGACCCCAACAAACTATTGATGAGCGCCATTCTCTGTCCGGAGTTCAATGCAAATCAAAGATACTTAAATTCCGTATATGGTTGACTCTAGACGGTCCACTGACCAACTACCGGTTTATCCAAGAGATGTCCAGTGGTACTGACTTTGAGTGGTCGACATGGGGAACACTGAACCGTATTAGAACAGTCATAACGCCAGTAAAAGTTAACCAAATAATAAGAATAAACAATTCATTGAAAATGGGAGTAAGGGTGGGGGGTTGCTAGACACGTGTAATCTGAACGAAAATAGAAGTTCATTCACAGGAGGCGGATCCAGTGGGACATGTTGAAGTGGGGGGACTTCTGGGAGCGAATGTTCTTGTGATCGTGTGACGATGGAAAAATGATGCCGGGGGGTTACTGAAAATTGCAGAACGGGAGGATAAGCATTTTCTGCGTATTTACCTTTCCCCGGTAATCGTACATCTAGCAACACAGTGTCAAAAGTGTTAGGTTCGAATGTCGTTGATATAAACGCCATTGTGCTTAAAGCACAGAACTTTCCGTTCCAATAGTAGTTGAAAAATTTCTGAGGATGTTTTCTTAAATCTTGATACCTTCTATGAAAGAGACCTTTCTTAAATCTTCAGCGAGTCAGTAGATGGACCCAATATTTGCGAAAAATTTTATAACGTTTTCTTTTTCTGCTTCATAGTATTAGAGCAACAAGACATACAGCTCTCTTGAAATCCATCTTCAAACTGTGAACATCGTATCCAGTTTCGCAGTTTTTAACCGTAGTGTGTGCGTCTCGGGCGCTTTTGCGGTTTGGTGGTTTACCGCTTGCGGGAAAAAACCATAGTGCGGCCTAAGCCTTAATGCATGAAATACAACAAAATACCTAATCAAAACATAAATAATCCAAAAATTGTCAATAGTTGTCAATAGTTTCGCGTTACATTGACTAATTCTTGTGCTTACCAAATGCGTTTTAGGAACGCTGAAGCTGTTGATATGCATGCAGTTTATTTTGAATATCCAAATCGGCGTCTTTGCGACGTGATAGTTTTTGAACGATTAGTGCCAAACTTACGGGCCGATGGTACCTTTGGGCCTACGTTTTAACGGCAAAGAATTAGAAGAATGCAAGAAAATGTTAACCGCGTACTGGGATATATTGAAGGAACTTCTCATGTTAGCACAAGGGCATTATCCCTTGAGCTGGGCATATCACGACAACGGCTTAAAATATTTTGAAGGTCCATAGGTAAGTTCCAATGGCCATCACAATATAGGGATTTATTTACATTTATCTCTTTTAGTTATTTTTAGAATGCACCCATATCATGTCGGAGGTTGGACATGATACGCGAAAATAAGGCATTTTTATTTCAAATTCTTTAGACCGATGAAGCCACCATTAATAGTGACGGGAGAGTCTATCTGGACAATATGAAGTTCAGCACCAAGGGCGTTAGAGTTTAAATGTGTGTTATGGCATACTGGGAGGCAGAATTATTGGCCATATTTTTCGAGCAATCCCTAAATGGCAATGTCTTTCTTGACTTTGTGTACAATCAATTACCATTGTTGTTGTAAGACGTGCCACTGGAAACACGACAAAACTTGTTATATATTAATGCATCATTTCACCAGCTGTGGATTGAAAGAGGAAGTCTATTTCCATGGCCTTCGCGATCACCAGACTTAACTTGTCTTGGTTTTTATTTATGAGGAAGGTTAAAGGACATCGTGTTTCAGACTCAACCTACAACCAGAGAAAATATGAAAAACCGGATTCATAATGCAATACGTAACATACCGAGATCCGAAATTGAAGTTGCAGTTTTGTCTACCCTTGAGAAGCTTGAGGAATGCCTAGAGCGTGATGGACAGCATTTAGAGCATTTACGGGAACATTAAAAACCTTTATTTTTTAAATCGGCCCTTTTAGGGAAACAACTTAATAACAAAAAGAAATACAAAAAAAAAATAGTTTACAATAAATAAAAATTCCGTATAAAATTTTCTTTGGCCCAAATTTTAGGTTAGGAACAAGATATCAAGATGCGGTTTTCGCGAGCTTGTTTATAAATCATTTTTTCATAATAAAGCATATCAATTATTTTGAGAAAATTAACCATTTCTGCCGGAATGCCAAAAAAACTCTCTAGCGGCCACTTGTGAAACTAACAAAACTTCAAATATTATAACATTTGTAGGCCAAGAATAGCTAGCCTAAGTTAAACTCGGCTCGGCTGTTTATTTTTAGAGATTCTGCAAAAATTAGTACCGTTCGGATATCGACGAAATTTTTACACAATGTTACTACTATAGACATTTTTTCGCGAGATCCCGTAGTGAACCGGAGCGGGAACAGATGGAATTTCCCCTTCCTCTCGAAGTTTTGACAGTTTCAAGTTACACCGGGAGTGGTCAGATGGCGCATGTTGCGCAAAATGTTTGCTTTAGGCTCCTTGATAAACTTAGCTGCCTTGTCTCAATCTGAAATAAAAAGACCGATCGTTTTTTGTGCAATGTAATAATTTAACTCAATTTTCGGTATTGCGAAGACAAATTTTCAATTGAGATGAATGTCTTTTAAATGAAATTGTCATAAGACCTGTCACTCGCTAGTACCTCACAGACGTTAAGCGGGTACCCGTACCCCGTGATTTTTTGACATTCGGACAACGTCACATCCATCTTCCCCTATTCCCGTTCTTCGCAAAAATTTAAGTATCGGTTCCCGGTAGTGCACTGTGCTACACCGTGGACTCGCGATAAAATCCTTTATGTCAAGGAGGCAAGAGCTATGTTTTAAAAAATCGGTCCAGTGGTAGCAGAGAAAAAGTCCTAGAATAAAGAAAGTTAAAATCGCTCATACGTTGTTTTTTGACGTTTCAAGGGATCCTGATCATTTTGAAACAAATTTTAGAGGTAACAGAATTTGAGGGTTGGGTTGTAATTTTTTTATGCTGGTACATGCATACGCTCCCAACATTGGTCGTTCTATGCACACGATAGATTTATCTGTATATTAGCCCTGAAAAAATATTCTCGGGAGACGGATCGCGCACCTATCTGCCTCGGCTGCTGCTGACGTCGCGTCATGCGCTCAGAGTAATGAGTGCTCTGGTATGGAATCACACGTATTTCTGTCGCGCAACAGCATAGATAGTGTTTTCTATGCTCTGACCGCGCTACCACGGTGCCACGTCTGTCCGAGTTAGGTGTCGGGGAGAGGCGACGTTTAAAGATGCACTACCGGTAGGGCAGGGAAGAAATGTATTGCATCTATGGATTAATTATATGGTCTACTTTGAGCTGAATATATGGCATTATGTACTGATAAGCGTATTGAGTGGGAAGTGCAGGGTCAACCTATTTGACGCCATTTTTTAAATATGTGATAGCTTTTTTACTACTTCCGAAACTGAGCGAAAAAGTATTGTAATCTTCAAAGATTTCAAAAATGAGATTATGTTTTTTGGATTTTATATAACATGTAA